ATCTCCCTATGTCTGCCGTCGTTGTCGGCCAAGCTCCCTATGTCTGTCGTCGTTGATGATGCAGAGGGTGGAGGTATTACCGTCGACGAAGCAACGACGGCTGGAGCAACGGCAGCGGAGAGAATGTGTTTGGCGTTGGAGCTTCAAGGCTTGCATCCATGGCAGCCCTGGTGTTGATGACTTGCGCAGAATGAAGAGGGGAATGCATGTGCGTATAACGAAGAAAGGTAATGGAGCGGGTCACTTTTTGGAAAATTTTAAAAGACTCATATATTTAGAAATCAAAAGTTCATTAGTTATATGCGGGTCATTTTTTCTAAATGTATAATGGGTGCATTTTGTCTCTCTTTAATTTTAAAATGATGGTATAAAATAGCAATATACCACTTATAAGGATTTATGGAATTTTATTTTGATTCTACCTCTAAAGGCAAAAGCAGATTCAGATGAAAGATTGGTATTGATCGATTTCAATGTATAAAATAAAAGAATTGGTTAGAAAATTTACAATTTCTTGTTACAAATTGTTTTTTGAGTTCAGAGGTAAATTGTAAATTATATTTACAAATTGTAAATATCATTTAGTTGTAGAAATATTCACCTGACAGATTTTTTTAATTAAAGCCTTACTTTTATTATTATATATCATTTTTTACAAATTTCTTTGCGAATTTACAATTTATTAGCAATTTAGTGGTCTTTTTTGAATTAAAAAATACATAAATATCATTATTACTTATATACTTTAAAATTTGTGTTACCAATTTAAAACAAGATTTTTTAAATAAAATATTAATGAAAATAAAACTTATTGATAAAAATATGACTAAAGTTACCATGAGTATGGTGTCATGGACACCTAAGTACTCCGGATAAAAATTGAACCTAAGTTACTAGTCTGAGATCGTTTCAATTCTGGTTAAAATGTGATAGAACAGTTTTAAAAATTGTAGTTGTAAAATTCGGTTACATTCTAGTAAAGTTTGATACTCCCTCTGTCCCAATTTGTATGATACTTTACGGTTTACGATGTTTGACAGACGATAAAGCAAATTGATCCTTGTCAACACTCAAATTAGTTTTAGAAAATAAATTTTATATATTCAGAAACTACATTAAAACCGCTACAAAACCTGCAAAAAACAATTCAAATTTCATAAAATTTTGATATATAAAGTAAAAGGTTAAGAATGATTTATGTTGACCAAGTGAATAGTAAATGTATCTTACAATTTGGGACTGAGGGGGTACAATTTTTACCTTTTTTGAACCCCTTTAAAAAAAATTATCCTACTAAAATGAACACATTTTAGGAGGATAATAGTCTGTATCAGGTTATAGATAACTCTAGATCAACTGTAGACTTGATCTACCTGCTATTAGACGTCCAAATTTAGGGGATACATGTCTAATAGCAGGTAGAAAAATTCTTTTTGTACACCTTCTTATACACATCAGTACACCTCCGTCTCTATGAGAGTTTTTTTGTCTGTGAATCCCAATCGACAGACAAAAATGGCTTGTTTTGTCTGTAGAATTTTCCACATAAAAAACAAGCCGGTTGTGTCTGTAAATTGGGATTCACAGACAAAAAAAACCTCTCACAGACACAGAGGTGTACTGATGTGTATAAGAACGTGTACACCAAGAATTTTTGTAGCAGGTAAACATGGAGCTGGTTAAGGTAATACTTTGTATCAAATAGTAGTACTAGTATAGAAGAGATACAATTATTTTTAAAGAGATGAAAATAAAGTGAAGGAAGTAGTTTTAAAAAATTGTTAGAACATCTCTAATGTAACAATGTGCATGGTAAACATATGGTATGAAAGAGATTAACACATAAAAATAAATCATTGACATTTCTCTTTATTTGTATCTACAGTTATATATAATTTTCATAATAATGTCAATCAAAATGTCTACATCTAGACATTATTCTTGACATTGTGAAGAAAAATTTATCTAAATTATATATGACCATTCAAATAAGGAGAGGTATATATTGATTGCTAATATTTTGTGTATATCTCTCTCATAGTACATGTGCACCTTGCGTCTTATGACATTGAAGATGGTCTTAATGTTAACTTGTGTTTTGCACTTGTGAGGTGCTCACGGAGTAGTATCTACGGAGTACATAATATAAGGTCCATTCAACTAAATTTGTCATGTGTTTCCCTTTTTGAACAATCTCACTAAGATTGTCTTATATTACCTTTGTCATGTAGGATTTTTTTAATTTTATATTAGGTGTGTTTAGGTGTGAAATAATAAAAGTAAAAATTAGGTGTTTATGATTTACACAAAAGAGAGAGAGATAAGTTAAGTCACAAATTCATTATTTTATAAACAATTTGACAAGTTTTTAAGATAAACAGAACGGAAAGTTTACAAATTTTAATAGAATAGGGGAGTATCATATTTACGACGACGGCAGTCCTAGCAAGTCTAGGTTTTTCGGCGGGTGGCGCTATAGCTTTCTTGGCGCTTCAGTGTCCCAGAGTTTTGCTAGTTTTTCTCATCTATAGCATAGGGTGGAGCGTGGGAGCATTCGGGATCGAAGGGTCTTGGCGAATCTCAATTGCAACACAGGGGAGATGATAGGGATCTGGAGACTGTTCGTGTTTGGACTAGTTGTGCTCGTGCGGTATGTTGGCCAAGAGATGGAGGTGAATCACGGGCATATCAGGGTGTTGAAGGAAGAAGATGAAGGGATGAAGATCCACCCCCCTCCTGAACCGCCGCCATGCTGGAAATGAGTGATTAGGGGTCGGAACACCGCGCTGGAAGATTGGGTTCAGCGGCTCAATAAGTTTATCCTGCTTAAATTCATTGTCCTCATTTTTAGTCTATTTTCGAAGAAATTCGTTGCTATCGTTTTGCTTTTGGTATTTGCTTGTGGTAATATGTTTTTTACATTGATCGAGGGTTCGGCTAGATTTGATATTGTTAGTGGGAGACAGATCTATTTTTTCAGCAATAGCTGCATTAAGCTTGTCTGGTGGTTAACGATTCGTAATGCTCCTTTAGGGTGATCGTCTCTATGTCTAATCGTAGGGCTAAAAGTAGTAGTTGGAAGGTGAATGTTGTTGTCAGTTCTGATCAATTTGAGATTATTGTAACGATCCTGGTTCTAATGATATCAATATAGTCATTTTCCTTTCAAAAAGGGGGAGTATCATATTTGATAATGTTTATACTCCCTCCGTCCAGTTAAAATGTTCCCGCTTTCCTTTTTTGGATGTCCCGTTGGAAAGTTCCCATTTCCCTAAATGGAAAGTTATCCTACATCAAAATAGGGTCAAACAGTGCAAAACAGTGTCAAACAATGTGGAAACAGTGCCAAACAGTGTCAAAACAGTAAAATTTACCACTGGTAAGTTTATTTCCTTAATATGTGTGTAGATCAAACCGGGAACATTCCAACGGGACAGAGGGAGTATATTCTTACTTTATTTTCATACTCCCTCCGATCCTTAATTAACTTTACACTTTCCTTTTTGGGTTGTCTCATATTAAACTTTACACTTTCTTATTTGTCTTATTTGGCAAACAAATCTACACTAAACAGTGCAAAACAGTGTCAAACAGTGCCAAACAGTACACTCTATAGTAAAGTCAAATTTATTTACTTAATATGTGTGAAGTCAAATTGTAAAGTTTAATAAGGACCGGATGAAGTATTAATAATTCAATACCAATCATGCAAATTATTTTTCTTAGTAATTGTAGTATTTGTTCATATATCAAAGTATCAAACTTAGGGCATGGTTGTATTGATATGTACTACCTCCGTCCCGTTGGAAGGTTCTCATAGCAAAACGACACGATTATTTAGGCAATAATTAAATAAAGTACTTCGGGTATATTTTGAGAAATAATTTTAATAGGTATATATTATAACGTAGTTAGTATTGGTAACTGTGATATTAGAAATGTATTATTTTTAATATTTAATGATTCATTTGTCACTTAAGATTGTTAATTATTTCCTAAAATAGAAATGAGAACATTTATATGTGACGTCCAAAAAAGGAAAGTGAGAACCTTCTAATGAGACGGAGAGAGTAACTATTTACTCCGGTACTTCATTTTCATGCTAAATTGTATTGAAAATGAGGAGTCCTATTTGGACACATTTTTTGTACATACTTGTGGTACACACAATTTTGTACAACAAATGTGTTATGAAATAGAGAGCCGAGAATCATTCAGAGAGGAGGGGCTGCATGTGGGAAACACTAGCTGCATCAACTTCTTTTCCTCTCTTCCTTCAATTCTTTTGAATTCAATCATGAAAAAAATTGGTTTAATCACTTTTTCAGTTTTATCTATGCATTTATTTTCTATATACATTTATTTCCTAGTATTGTCTAAAGATGTCATTTTCGGTGACGAATTCTCATCAATCATATGTGTATTCCCCATCATCATCAGTCGGGTGTTCTTGTGTGCTATTAATAGATTTCTAGCGCCTTTTTCATCAATCATGAATCTGGATTTCTTTTGATCAATATTGAAGCCGATCATCCCCCTCCTGAATCGTCTCTGATCCAGAATATGTAATTGCATGGGTTGCTTTCTTTCTGGTAGCTGATGAAATCGGAACAAATTCTGCACTTGACTCTTTACCTGTGGCTGGTAAAACCGGGAAGTTTAATAGTTCCTTTTCGGCGGCTGGTCAAACTAGATCCATTTTAAGTAGCGAGAGCAGTCACACTGCGAATACTAGTCCACATCGTTGCAGAGTTAGCGAACATGAGTGCCTTTATAGATCTTTTTTGTTCTTTATCTCACCTTAGTGTAGCATTGAACGTTATGATTGTATGTTTTAACTTTTTATTGTTATGTTTCTTGATATCCTCATCAATAATAATTGAGAGAAAAATCCTACTAAAAATTGAGAAAAAATCCTCCTAAAAATTGTGGATTGTCCAACTAGGCAACTACCTCTAATAGTCAAATCTTACCGTAAAATCTTGAGAAATTTTGAATAACTAAAGTCCGTTCTGCAAGAAAACTTCTAAACGTGGCTCTACAATGGCAACTACTTCTTTTCTTCCACTCCTCTGTTTTCTCCTTCTCCGCCCTCTCCCATCTCTCTCCGCCACCTCCCCCTACCTGTCCCCCACCACCTTTTTCAAGAATTATGAAAAGATGCTCTCAACTTTCAAGGTTTTCATTTACGCCCCGCAAAAACCGTTCGAATTTACAACCCCGCCCTCTTCTTCCTTCCACGACGCACTCCTTCACAGCCCATTTCTGACCACCGACGCTGAAGAAGCTCACCTCTTCTTCGTACCCTTTGCTCATGACACCTCCACCCGCGCTCTGGCGCGTCTAGTTCGAGAACTCAGGGGAGCTTTTCCCTACTGGAACCGGACACTCGGAGCCGACCATTTCTTCATCCACCCCACCGGAATTGACTTCTCAGCCGATCGGAATGTTCTCGAGCTGAAGAAGAATTCCGTGCAAATCTCCATTTTCCCGACAATCTCCGGCCGCTTTATACCCCACAAGGACCTCACGCTCCCGCCGGTGATCAATCACGCGCTCGCCGGAGCGCCGGGGAACATAACGGCGCCGTTTCTCGGGTATATGAAGTGGGATGGAAAGACGGAGCAGGGCATGGTGAAAGAGTTGAAACTGGATGACGAGTTCTTGATCGAATGTCAGCCGTTGGATCATCTGGGGAATATCAAGAACAGTAAATTCTGCATCTTTTTTTACAGCGGTGACGTGTCATGGCTTGGGGAGGCGATGGCTTGGGGCTGCGTGCCCGTGGTGGTTGTGGACCGTCCGATCCAGGACTTGCCGTTGATGGACGTGTTGAATTGGTCGGAGATGATGGTTTTGGTGGGGTCCTCTGGCGGGGCCACCGGACTGAAGGAACTGCTACGTGGCGTAGTAGAGGAAGATTACGGGAGAATGAGCAGATTGTGTGCAGCGGCGGCACAGCATCTGGGGTGGAACGCGGAATTGCAGCCGTACGATGCATTCCACATGGTTATGTATCAGCTGTGGTTGAGACGACACGCCGTTAGATATGCGAGGAGAGAACGAGAGAGCTTGGAACATTTTTTAGTTAAATAATTACCGTGAAAAAGGATATTGCTTATCATTATCTGAAGGATATATCTGTTAATACTCCGTAATAAAGAGAAGCTTATTTATCTGGGATCAATAATTATAACTCTATTTTCTCCCATATCTCTAATAAAAATCAATTATTTAGGGGTGTTTGGAACTGATCCTGCTTTTTTTTAAAGCAGAATCACTCTTATCTTCTAAAAAAACTGATTCTAGAAGTAGATTAGATCATCAGAATCACTTCTGCACTTTCATCCAAACACTCCAATTTCTGCTTCTCTTCCTTGAAAGAGCAGAAACAGTTTTAGAAGTCAGATCCAAACACCCCTTAATAATGCTTTGGGAATTGCAACTAGCATGAATCAAGGAATATGAAATTTAGAGAGCATAAATCCGTTTCAATCTCATGCAATTTATCTAAGAACACAAATATAGATTAGCACCAATTCCGTTTTTTTAGATTAAGAAATGCGAAATCATTATGGTATGTTTTTAATTGGATGAGTTTTCTTGTCTGTTTTTAATTTGATTTTGTGTATTTTAGAACCTATTTAAATCCAATCTAATTTAGGACTTCTATAAGTCCAAGTAAAAACATCTTTGGTGTTACGATCTTTTGAGGATCAGTATTTATCTCGAAAATTTTACGGCTCAAGTACTCTTACATTTATTATATCTTAAATCTAAGGTCATCGAGTTATTTAAAAATATAAGAACTTCAAAGTTTAATACCCTAGAATCGATTGATCCAGGATTGAAAACCGATACTTAGATAACACCCGGTGCAAGCTTCTCGAGAGCAGAAAAGAACATCTAGTTAGTACATTGCCCATGCAACATTGCAACCCCAAGCTAGGGGTGGATCAGTCCTTGTTACAGGCTAGTCCAACCCTGGGCTGAACGGTCAGATGATTTATACTCCGTATATAGACACACATGAACAGGACCTAAATTTTGGCACCGAATCGGTTCAAGACTATGTCCCCATTATGGACAGGTTCCAGTCTAGGCAATCCGATTCCGATACCGTTCATGGTTCAGGGCTGCTTCACGATGGACATGATGAATAAAATTAAAAAAATGAAATAGTTGCCGGACCAAACCAGTCCGGACTGTTGTCAAAACAGGTCCCTAATTTGGATCACGAATCCTAAGCCCTCTCCTAGTTGTGGTTCCGACCCAGAACTATCTGGACTGATTCCAGTTAAAAATCGCGTGATTCCAGCCCGGAATGTTGTCAAAACTCAAAACAGGTCGGCCCCTATCCAGCCAGTACACTCCATTCCCAAATCCCAAGCCTCAACATCCCTTTTAGACTGATGTATTTGATGTATCATCTCCCTACCCTGCTTAAATATGTTATCGGACCGGACCCTATTTACATTCTACCAATTTCCATGGAGTATGATTAGGGATGGATTCGGTTCGGGCCACCCGGCCCGTGACCCGGCCCGGCCCGGTACTGTGCGGGTCCGGGACCGGCCCGGTCGGGTGGTCCGGGACCGGGTATGGGCCCGAACCGGTGGGAAGGGGCGGGGCGGGCTCGGTTCAGCATTTTTGTGACCCGGTCCGGCCGGGTCGGGCCCGGGCCCGGGTCCAGTTCAATTTTTTTAAAAAAAAATTGGTTTGGGCTCCTACTAGCCGTTGGGGGTGGGGCTGGGGACAACCCAAACGGCTATATAGTCGTTGGGTGGGGTAAAGGGGGGGTCCGGGGGGGTTGGGTGGGGGGGTGGTGGGGGTGGGGGTAAAAAAACCTATAAATACTCCTAATCTTAAACATTTTTTCATATCTCTTCTCCAATTCTTCCTAAATCCTATTCTTAACTCTCTACTCTCTAATTCTCTTATTCTCCAATATATTATATATCTACTCTCTAATTCTCTTCTCCAAGAAGTTAAGATGGAAAATCTTATACGGTATAATTTTGATAAGCAGAAGGACCCGAAGACCGGGATGTGGTACGCAATTTGCAAATGGTGCGAAAAAAAATGTATCATGGGGGCTTCAAGCGTATTCGGGATCAATCAAGCATATGAAATCATGTGACAAAGCCAAAGGATCGGGAGGTGCAGGAAGTTCCGATTGATTACAATTTTCAAAATGTTCTTAAAGTTTGTTTTAATTTTCAAATGTAGTTCCTATTTCATTTCAAATAAATGCAATTGAAGTTTGTTTTTAATACTCGTATTTAAACATATAAACTATAAAATATAAATCATAAAAAAAAAATTAACCGGCCCGGCCCGAACCGGACCCGACCCGTGACCCGGGCGGGTGGCCTGGCCCGACCCGGCCTGGGCCCGACCCGGCCCGAATCCATCCCTAAGTATGATACTCTAGTCTCCACCAAACAGGTCTACGGGATGGCGAACCCTAAAGCCACCTTTCAGAAAGAAACAATGTAGTGTCCATTACCTCGCCAAGAAAATAGGTTAATATCTATTGAATCTGTAAAATTAATTAAAGATATACATACTGTCGTTTTCTATTTAAGATTAACAATGACGATCAAAGTTATTTACAAACACATCCTTAGTATTAAACTTTGCAGTTGAATGAAATGAATTGATGACTAAAAACAAAGTAGATTTATTTGCTAAGCCTAGCTAATTAACTCATGTTCACCCATATTCTGTATATAGGTAGAAATGTTTATTGACGATGATAACTAAATTACATTCGGCAAAAGCTTTAATAACGCTAATATAAATTACAAGGAACACCCGGTGGCTTTATGGACTTCTGGGCAAAGCATCTCCAGATGTAAAAAAATGCAAAAAAAAAAAAAAAAACTCCACTTGGTTAAACATCAAAACTTAACTCAGCAGTTCCTTGTGAGTGTAGACTACTTCTTTATCTCCGTTCACTACGTGCCCGTTTCCTCTTGCAATCCTGCCCATATGCATATACCATTTAAGTTTTGACATGTGTCATCAACTTTTATATATGCAACTAGGAGATCATTCCCCTATCCAATATAAAAATTAATAGGTTCCATAGGATTCAATGTAGCCGATGTATATGATGCAGTAATGAAAAATTAAACTAAAGACCTATTCATTTCAACTGAAATTTTCTAGTCTGATCTAATCTTCCCAAGGGTCACATGGGCTGTTTAAGTTTGATACAATCCGTTTAAGTCTGGTTTAGTCTAATATGAGATTAAATAAAGCCAACTAAGTAGATCCTTTATCTTCTCCAATAAAGAGAAATACTTGTAATGCTGAAATTAGTATTACTGTATGGTACTTATGGAGTGATATAAAGCATACCATCGTGTTGTTAACAATCCTTCAACTCCTACAGGACCACGTGCGTGAATCCTGCTTGTACTTATCCCCACCTGTTTTGCACAAACAAATGAAACAGCTTATTATACTCATACAGCTCAAATGTAATGAATGTTTTGATGATTTTTTTACATGAGCTTCAAATTCTACCTCTGCGCCAAGTCCAAAGCGAAATCCATCACTAAATCTTGTGCTGGCATTATGAAATACAGCAGCACTGAAGGAAAAAAATTATTATTATTATATAAAGGAAAACAAATATTGTATTCTTAAGTGAAATTGGTGATAAAAATAATACGAAGTACATTACTGTAAAGTAGAATAAAGCATAGTGTAGAATCTGTAGATAACCTGTCGACTTGATGTAAAAACACTTCGGCAACTTCATTGTCTTCAGTGATGATGCAATCAGTATGAGCACTGCAATCAGTACATAAATGAGAGATTCAAATAAATACAATAACTTACAGTCTTGCAATGTTAACCCGTGAGATCTGTCATTTTTTCAGATTAAAGCTACTCACTCTCTCTTAAAAACTAGGCTTGTTTAACAAGTACAACATTTTATACTTTTAGTCAACTCAATTATAATACAAGCTTTTACAAGTTATGTAAAATCTTGGAATAATTTCAAGCTTAAAAAATTATTACAATTTATTTCAAGAAATTTCATGTTATGTACAAGCTTCTAGTCTTGCAAATTATACTTTTTTAACAATTATTTTACAAGCTTCTAAAATAAATTCCAATATAGTTTGGAATAATTTGCCGACCCCAATATCTTTTGGGACTAAGGCTTGGATGTTGTTGTTGTATATTTTGGAATAATTTCCAAATACCCATCACCGCATTGCTTTATAAATTTCATTACAAAATTGTGTTGACATTTAAAACAAGATTATTTTTCAAGGCGGAGTTTTTCTTTTTTGCAATATGGCTCTTTTGAAGGCAGTAAGCAATATTTTTGGGTTCTGAAAGTCGAGATTATCAATTGAGATTACAGAGCATTTTGAAAAGTTATAGGAACAGTTTTTTGTAATAGTTTTCTTTTTTGAAGTTCTGTGTGTAAAAGTAAAAGACCTCACGGGTATCTAGCAAGTTTATGCATATACTAAGTATGAAAATCTAAAAAATGAGAAGCATGCCTTCCATGCTGGTGTATATGATCAATTGCATCGTACACATCATTAACAATTTCAACAGTGCAAGCCAAAGAACTATATTCATGATGTAATGAATCAGCCTCTGGAATATTCAGCACAGAACTTGCCTCTGGTCCTCCATATATAGTAACCCCTGAAACATCAAGCAAATTGTATTGTTCAAAGCTCATCTACGTTAACACAGAATGATTTCATCAACGATACTTCAAGTGCCAAATCTATAGGGATATGAGCCAATTGATAAGGTATGGAAGTTGGACATGACATGTTCAAAGCAATAGATTATCTTGTAGGGTTTAATAACCCTTTAGGGTCTCCCGCCTAAATAACTGGCTTTTGAGGTGTGGTTCTTATTGAGTAGTTCATATAAGTTGTTTACTAGATTTGAGTAGTTTGAGTGCAGAAAATAATGATTTAGACCGAATTTAACATAGAACATGGTCTGATAATGGATTGCGAGATGCGTATCCATTCGATGATTTTGGGCAATCTGTTTTGGGTCTGTTTAGGCCCTCATTTGTCAACCCCTTCACTTGTCCAACCCAATTTGACCCGAGGAGGGTGTGTTAAGCATTTGCATGGGAGTCTAATTTAGTACATAGTATTAGGTAAATCTAAAAAGATTCTGAAGAGCCCACGTGGATACTCTGGTCCATACAA